CACTTGCTAAAACCCTATATAAGCCCCTCTAAGCCCAGCCCCCGTGCTACTCCCCTTGCAGGCTAGCCCAGCGTGCAATAAACTCTGAGAAATGTTTCTACCTCGGCGTGGTTCTTGGCTTCAATCCGAAACCTTTCAAACGCCAGCATTTGGGCTTTTAGCTGCATCAGTATTAGAGGAAGTGCTGTTAGGAAAGGCAGCTTTGAAAATCCCTCTTAAGACTCTAGACTCATGTCAAGACTTGAAAATGGAATTCAAGCTTTTCTTTCAGACAGCTTTGTTTATATATATGGTGCACTCCTAACCTCTCAGACAGGATCAAATGCTGACTGATCATCCTGCAGCTCCTGTGTACTGTGGACTAAGCACCTTACATGTGACCTCATTCCGCCTCCAAGGAGGAGGCCCCCAGTTCTGCCCCCACATTCCCCTTTTTAGACCCTTCCCTCAGCTTCTGAGGTCTATGCTAGGACAACATTAGCGAGTTAAGTATGGCTGCAGGAGGCGGCACTTGCCTGTTTTCTGAATGCTGTGGGAGAGACTGCCAGAGCCTTCAGTGGAATCACGTGATCCTCCAGCCTCTGGCGGACCCGGAATTCTGAAGGTCAAGCGGATCTCCGGGGAGGTAGTTGATGAAAGATGCAAAGAAAGGTGAACTTGTTGTTGTTTTGGGGTATTTTTAATTTTTTTCTATTGTTGTTTTAAGAAACTTATTTTTGGAATCATATTGCTAGACAAGCTATTTCTGTTTTGCTTTTGAGAGCCTATAAATAATCGACTAAAACAAACAAAAATGAATTGACTCAAAAACGCAAAGAGAAAATCGGACCATCAAAGCGAAATAACGCTTATTTTGTTATCTACAAAGATGTAGTATTTTTATCCACCACAATAATGATTAAAAGTTAGATTGTTAAATTTTCCTAACATGAAATTAACATGTACGTTGTATTTCCTCACTTCTCAAGCTTTTATAAATACACACTTATTTCTGGGAAATGAAATCACAAGTTAAAGAAAACATGTGTTACAAGGGGGGAAGGAAGCCAAATAAAGAAACAGTGATTATTTGACTATCCCATTTCATAAGAAAATCTTTCTGGCATTTCTAAACAGGAAAACATTGTATTTCCATTACGATGTGGGTAAATATTAAATGTGACAGGATAAGGAAGGCTCAAACCGGGCTTGCGTCAGCACGCACAGGATTGTTTAAGGCCTGGATGTTAACTTCGTCATGGTGCAGCTCCACTGAGCGATCCCTCATGTCCCGCTCCCAACTTCACTTCATCAGGGTCCCCTCCTAGAAGGCAGCCTCCCGACCCCACCCCATTCCTCAGATCTCGGGTGCTCCATCTTCCCTAGCACGTTGGTACCCTCAGATTGGCCCCACCACTATTCTGTCAATGTCACTGGCCAAAATCTGGCCACTGGATCAATAGACAACATCATGATAAATGGAGAAAAGATTGGCATTTCATTTTGCTTGGATCTACAATCAATAGCCACGGTAGCAACAGTCAAGCCATCAGAAGGGATGTTACACTGGGAGAAATCTGCTTTCAATTCCCTCTCCACCTCTCCACTACGGTGCTAAAGAGCACCATAGTCATCTTAAAGACTAAGATGCGCCTGATATGCTGGGTCCCTATCAGTATTTTTCCACCAATCACAGGATGAACAGTAATTACAAACCAACAGCTGAATCCTGTTTACCATTACTCAGGTTTTCAGCAATAAGTCAAAATCCGTTGAATACTTTTCCCCTATACACACGTGAAAGCTTATAGATGCTTCAGACTTTGCTTGTTTTAGTGATTTAATCCAACTGCAAAATATTATGTTTTCTCTTTTAATATTTCTCTGTGGAAGGACAACACAAGAGAGGAAGACCCTTGAGATAGATTGATCCAGTGACTGGGGCAATGAGGGTGGGTGTGTCAGAGACAATAAGGTTGGCACAGGATGGAGCAGGTTTCAGAGCTGTTGTACCTTGGGTTGCTATGAGTCACAAGCAACTAGATGGCACCTAACAACAACTCTTTCATGTAGAAGATTTGGCTGTTTCCATTCCTCTGTAAACCTTTGACATTATACAGTATCCAACTTGTTCTTTGGAAAACACATTTATATCACAGCTTATTTGTCAAGCCCACTGTAGGTGGCCTATAGTCACCAGGTCTACCATCTCCTTTCTGGCTGGTAGCCCTGCCTTTACTTTTCATTGTCTTAGTGTTCCCTGCAGTCATCCCAACATCAAGAAGATAAAAATCTTCGCTACTGGGCCAAAAAGCAGTATCATGATAGGTGGAAAGAAGACTGAAGCGGTCAATGACTTTATCTTACTTGGATCCACAATCATCACACAAACACTCTTGGCACCAGCACTCAAGACATCAAAAGACATACGACATTGGGTAAATCTGCTGTCAAGGAGCCCTTTAAGGTGATAAAGAACAATGGCATCAGTTTAAAGACTAAGGTGCATCTGATCCAAATCACAGTCTTTTCAATTACTTGCTAGGTATCTGAAAGTTGGAAAATGATTAAGGATGATGGAAGAAGAATTGATGCTTTTGAGTTGTGGTGTTGGAGAAGAGTGGTGAATATCCTACAAACTGACGAAAGAACAAATAAATATGTCTTGGAGAAATGCAACCAGGGTGCTCCACGGAGGCAAGGATGGTGAAGCTTCCTCTCCCATATTGGGGCATGTTGCTAGGAGGGGGCTGGCCCTTGGGAAAGAACATCATGCTTGGAAAGGTGGAAGGCCAGCGAGGGAAAGGAAGACCTTCAATGAGATAGATTAACAACAGTAACTGTAACAATGGCTCAAGTATATCTGAGATAATGTATATGTCTCAGGATACAGCAGGGTTCAGATCCATTGTTCAAGGGATTGTTGTGAGTTGTAGTTGATTTGATAGCACCTAGCAACAATAATCAAGCTGGCCTAGTGGCAAGAAGCTGTGCTGCAATCACAAAGGCACGCAGTTCGAGGCACCAGCTAGCTGTTCCAGGGGAGAAGGACAGGTAATCTCTTCTTGTGCAATTAACTGCCTCTGGAAACCCACGAGAAAGTCAGCTGTAGGTCAGTTCCGACTCTACAGTATACAAGAACAACAACTACGCAGTCAGGGCGTGGAATTGAATTCAATCCTGGTTAATGAAACCTAAAGGAAAATCTGAGGATTTATGGAAAATATTGGCCTCCCTGATAAACAGAGATGTGAGAGAAAGTTGATTCCTGTCTTTGTTATTGTTGTGTGTCATTGAGTCAAAGCCAAACCATAGCTGGTTCTCCAGCAGGTTTTCAGAGGCAGTAAATCATCCAGGAAGAGACTGTCTTTCTCGCACAGAGCAGCTGATGGATTCAAGCCACGTGAACGTGCCTTAAGGCACAGGTATTTCAGGACACAATGCCCAGAACAGGCATTTTAGACCAATTATGAGGAGATGGTCTAAGGACAAAAGGCTCACAAGGATAGTCAAATGGAAAAGACTCTTCATTTTAATGTCATTGCTCAGCCATGGAGTTAACCAGCAAACTTCCTCTAGACCTTTTGCTGTGTGATTCTTCTTTGTTTGCACTTTGCCACTTGTATTGTCTCATGTACTTGCAGCCAAAAACAACCTTCTGACACAGCTATTAACATCACTGTTGCTTTTACAAGCTGCAGTTGACCTTCAACGTAAGGATGTTTACCCTTGTGGTAAGGAGGCCAGCGTCAATATTCAGGTCTCATATGTGACATATTTTCCAATGAAAGTACACACATCATTTTGGGCATGGGTTGGCTTCTTAATGCAGACATTCAAAGTACATATTTCTTGGTCATAATTTTATAACATCGTTTTAATACATTTAGAGCCTCATCAGAAAAGGGAAGTGACTTGAGTCTCCTTTGTCTTCTTTTTTTTTTAAAGTCAATTTTCTTTAATAATAAAAAGTTGAAAATTAAAAAAAAGTTGAAAATGTTGCACAAATGTTTTTTATTTATTTTTTTAAATTTTATTTTATTATTTTTGTGTGCGTGTACTGTCAAATCAGATTGCACAAATGTTTTGGTACAACAGTTAAGGTTCTTTTCTTTATTCCCCTTCAGTTTTAAGTTTTAATAGATCTTCTGTAGGCTCAACAACTTTCACTCCACAGACCATATGATTTGAGGCTCTCAAATCAACTTTTTCCAAGCAAAAATTCTTTGTGTAAACAGAGCCAGTGTACTTTATGTGATGCTGTTAATTTTCAAAACATTCCTAGTAAATAAATAAAGGGGTGATATAAAATACTGTTTGCTTGGTGAATCTTAATTGCGAAATTTCTTCTTCTTTCAAAATTTCTTTCCTGCTGCATTTGCAGCCCCTTTGTCTTCTGAGAGACCCTGGAACTGAGGGAGTCCCTGTGGCTTTGAGGCAATGCCTCGAATGAGGGAACACTTGTAACCAGCCAGCCACGAGCAGTTCTAGTGCTTAGTTCATGCTTGATTCCATTTGGAAGAATCTGGCTTGAGATCACCAAGATGAGGCTAAAACTGGATGTTGGTTGTATTTTTAGCAGATACAAGGCTAAGCATAAACTGGACTTCTCATTCCAGGGTGAAGGGTTTGAACGTTGTCCTGAAAGCAGCGGGGAGCCAACCAAGATGGATGAGGACGAGTGACTTGGTCCACACGGTGTTTTATAATCGCGGGTGACTTGTGCAAGAAGGAGGCAGGCTGGAGTCTGGGCTTTTATCCACACATTTCTACAGACATTCCAGGGCAAGATGCCAGGGCATGGGAACAGCAGGGACCTTGTAGTGACAGTTTCCAGATGGAGTTTTGACAAGACAAATGGCCCTTCCCAGCAAGGCTTCTAAAAGAAGAAAGTAGCTAGATTCCAATCTCCCTCCTGGGGAATAGTTCTTCCCTCTTGCGTCTGGTTTAGGTGAGAGAGTGAAAGGAATGGGGAAAGGTCTGAGGGAAGAGCAGACCCAAAGGAGAGAAGAGGGAAGCACTCATTGGGCAGCTGGGCCATCAGATGTTCCGCTTGCTGGGACGGTCCCCTCATTTGCCTCCTCCATCATTTCCTTGTACTGGCGTCTGAAGAAGCCAACCTATAGGGGGAGGAAGAAGATCAGGATGCCCAACAGAAGAGAAAATAAGAAGTGATCACCATTTCTGGAAATTTCTACAATGTTCAGTACACTGTGCTAAAAATTATATACACATTGTGTCATCTAGACTTTCCCACAATTATGTGAGCTGGGTAGGATTACTCTGGAAAAGAATCCAAGACTTGGAGCACGCCAGAATGTCTTCACAGAAAGAATCAGTGGTAGAATAAATACTCAATACCAGGTATTTGGGGGGGGGAGGGGTGGTTTGTTTGTGGTTTTTTGTTTTGTTTTGTTTTAAAAATCTGTTAGAATGAAAATATATAGAAAAGGGAAGAGATAAGAGAATTGAGTGTTAAGTTTTGAGCGGAATATAACGATGAACCACAGATCTCACTCTTGTTCTGTCCTGTACCATCCTCTTGAGCTCTGTCCTGCTCAAACCCATTGTTACAGTCACTTATGGTTCCATCCTGTTGAGAATTGTCCTCTCTTTCAAGGATCCTCTACCCTTCCTAGCACCATGTCTTGTTTCTAAGGACAGGCTCCTCCTGACATAACATCCAAAGTATGTGAAATAAGATTTTACCAGTATTGCCTCCAAAGACCACCTTGGTCGCCCTTCCTTCAAAACAGACTTGTTTGTTCTTTCAGCAGTCCATGGAATACTTCAGACTCTTTGCCACCACCACAATTCAAAAACATCAAGTCTTCCTTTGGCTTCCTTAGTCATAGTCCAACTTTCAGATGTATAGGAAACGGAAAATACCATGACCTGGATCTTTAAACAGGTATGTTGAATATACCATGAACTGCTAGGAGAACAAACAGGTTTGTCCTCGAGAGGGTGAAGCCGGAATGCTCCTTGGAGTCAAGGATTCTGAAGCTTCGTCTGACACACTTTGGGCATGTTGCAAGGAGGGACTGGTCCTTGGAGAGGGACATCATGTTTGGCAGAGTGGAGAGGAAGACCTTCGATGAGATGGATCGATTCTGTGACTGGAGCAGTGGGAATAAGTGCATTTGAGAGACTAGGTTGGCACAGGATAGAACAGTGTTTAGAGCTCTTGTACATAGGGTCGCTATGAGTCACAAACGACTCAATGGCACATAACAACAACAACAACAACATATTCTTAGCAGGGGTTTTTTGTTTGTTTGTTTGTTTGTTTGTTTTTTCTTAATTTCAATGAACATCTACAGAGATTTTGGATTTCTATTCATTCATTGTTGCACTTTTCTCCCTGCCCTACTCTTAGCAGTTTAAAGAGGTCCTTGACAGCAGATTTCCCCATGCAATTCATTTCTTGACTACTGGTACCATGGATGTTGACTGTGGATCCAAGTAAAAGGAAATCCTTGAATATGTCAATATTTTCTCTGTCATGATGTTGCCTATTGGTCTAGTGGTGAGGATGTTTGTTTTCTTGAGGTGAGGATGTTTGTTTTCTTGACATTGAGATATAATCATATTGAAGGCCGTAGCCTTTGATCTTCAGTAATTGCTTCAAGTCTTCTTTACTTTCTGTAAGCAAAGCCATATCATCTGCAAGGTGCAGGCTATTGAAGAGTCTTCCACCAATCCTGATGCCACATTCTTCTTCGTATAGTCCAGCTTCTTGAAATATTTGCTGAGCATCTAGATCTTTTCTGATTTTAAACCCTATCAGGTTCCCTTGTTCTATTCAGAACACTGCTTCTTGGTCTATGTACAGATTTTACACAGGGGCTAGGCAATGGAAAAATAGTAAAATTAAATATTCTAGGATTCCCATTTTTCACAATATCATCCATAGTTTGTTATGATCCACACAGTCAAATGCCTTTGCATAGTCATAAAATACAAGTAGACGTCTTTCTGGTATTCTCTACTCTGGTCGCACTGCAAACCCCATAGCACCTCTCTGGTCATCCTTATCTACCCACTGCTCTGAGGGTGAAAGATGGGCAATCGATAATGCCTTTTAAAGCCTCTGCAAACCTAACGCAGAGTCAGCTATGAGTCAGTTCCAAGTAGACAACAATGACTTTGAATTTGAGAATTGAGTAGGAAAGTACAAATGTGGAGAAGAATTAGTTATTGCTGGTGCCATAAGTGGGAATGAGTCTCTTGCCTTGAGTAACCTTGCAAGATTGTGTATCCAGACTTGCTTTACTCCAAAGTGAGCTCTTCTGTATTCTGTACAGAGTGAACTCTGATGCTGGTGGTGAAAAAAAAAAAAACCACAAACCCCACAACCCACCAATAACAAAAGCCCAAACACTCACCTTGTACAAAGCGGCGGTAATGACAGCCAGGAGCAGCAGGCCTCCCACAGAGCTGCCCACGATGAGGGGGGTGGGGTTCTGGACCTCATACTTCTCCAGTACTGTCTCCACCTGGAGGAGAGATGGCCCCGTCAGAGTGCCGGTCTCCTTGTTTATCCACAACCTGCAGAGCTCTAGTGACCTGTGTAAGGAGCTACACAGAGACCCACTACTCAGATCCACCAGCTGCTCCTTGGGAGAAAGATGGGCAGTCTCTTCCCATGCAATTTGTGTTGTTGTTGTTGTCAATTGTCTTCAAGTTGAGCACGACTCATAGGGACCCTATGGACAAAAGGCCTGAAGCCCCTCTACAACTATCGGCATTTATCAAAGTTCATCGAGTTTCCAGAGGCATGTTGTTTAGGAAGTGGATGCCACTCCTGCAATTTACTGCCTCTAAAAACCCACTGGAGAGTCAGGTATGAGTCAGTTCTCATTTGGTAGCACATAATAACAACACAAACACCACCACAACATACACCTCTGCTCTGCCAGCTTGTTCTTTCCAGGTTTGTCTCAAGCAGGCAAGTCCAAGAGCACCCACCACCCCCTGGCCTTTGTCTTCTTCCCTCTTCAGCTACAGACACCACCCCGTTTTCCATGTTTAGTACTGGGAGCCCTGCATCAGCCTGGCTACTATCACATAATCGGTACCTGGGCTTTTAGAAACGCCTCCTGAGCTGGAATCTGGGAATACGTGGATCTGTTGAAGGTGATTTCAGCCTTACTCATGACTGACACCTTCTTCTGCCGTGTCTGCAAAAGAGAAAGGAGAAACTGGAGAACCGGCTCTGGGAAGACTCGGATTCAAGAAATGCCGTGACTCTCAGGATGTGCATGAAGCTGGGAAAGAATCGGAATTTTTTAAAAAATTCGTTCCTGGTGAGCTCTGGTGGCCTAGTGGCAAGAAGCTGTACTGCAATCTCAGAGGTGCACGGTTTGAATCCCTCAGATGCTCTGCTGGAGAAGGAGGAACAATCTCCTCCTGTACCAGTCAGATCTGATTTGATGGTACACACACACACACGCAAAGAATGAAATAAAAAAAAAATTCATTCCTGAGGCATAGACACATGTGAACCTGAGAAAGGGCTCTGCTACTGGTTCTCACACACCTGGCTGAGCCAGCCAAAGCTGAGGTTGCCCTGCAGGATGAAGGTAAGTTCCTCCAGGATGCCAAAGGACGGGATGTCACAGGAGAACCACAGGCAGACGGCTACAGAGCAGTTCTAGAGAAAGCGGAGCAGCGTCAGATCAGCGGAAGATGGACTTGAAGGAAACTCAACTCAAACTCTCCGCTGCCGAGTTTATTCCTACCCCTAGTGACCCATGGAGAAGGACATCATGCTTGGGAGAGTGGAGGGACAGCACAGGGGGGGAAGGCCCTCTATGAGGTGGATTGATTCAGTGACTGGGGTAATCGGGATGGGTGTGTCAGAGACGGTGCGATTGGCACAGGACAGAGCAGAGTTTAGGGCTGTTGTACATAGGGTTGCTATGAGTTGCAAGTGACTTGATGGCACATAACAACAACAACAACAGTGACCCTACAGGACATAGCAGAACAGCCTCAGAGGGTTTCAGGGTCCGTAAACCTTTACAGAAGATGATGTCCTCATCTTTCTTCTGAGAAGAAACCTTTATCACCAACAAAGAGCCCTGGAAAACTGAACACTGCGTTACACTGCCTGATTTTGGGGGGGGTGTCACATCTAAATGTACGAGGGCTATTCATGGGGTGTTCATCTGAAATGTAATGCCAGGTCTTTCAATCTCTCTGATATGGGGGGTAGAGTGGAGGTCATAGCCATTCTCACCAGGGTAGGGTTCTTCTGAAGACTAGTCAGGACGTCGGACTCTGTGGGAGCTATTTGCTTTGAAGAGCACCGAATGAACGGAGTCTAAGAGAAGACAAAGAATGAACATCTAAGTAGGGGCATCAGGAATGTACGGCGTACGCAGAGAAGCCAGGTAAAGGGCAATAGTGGAGGCACCATATGCAATCCGCAGCACCTGGGGTTGAAAGACCTCCACTCTTGTCCACACGGCCATCTGGTTCAGCTCCACGGGCACCCAGAAGTTGATGCTGGCAGGCAGGTCCCTCTGTCCCAGGTTATTCACCTGCACAGAGAACAATGAAGGCACATTGAGACCTCACACTTCCCCCTTAGCTCCGTCCCCCAGCCCAGCACAAGCTCCTTCCTGGGTCCCCACCACTTGCCTGGTACAGATGTTTGACCACACTGCTTTCTCCCTCCTCTGAGGCTGAGAAGTTGAGGTATTTGGTGGATTGCTCATGACTGTGAGGAGAGAAGGCATGGAGAGATCTGAGGTTCTGAGGAATTGCCCATCCTTCTCCCGCAGAGGGCCTAGTGGACTCAAACCATGTATCTTTGGGATTGCAGTGCAGCTTCTTGCCACTAGGCCACCAGAGCTCCCTGAACATATCATGTTGTTGTTGCTGTTGTTGTGGGCTGTTGAGTTGGAACCAATCCATAGCTGACCCTCTGGTAGGTTTTTAGAGGCAGTTAATAGCATGGGAGGAGGTTGCCCATCCTTTCCTCATTTCTATTAAATGTGAGAATAGTAATGGCATCAATTAGTATTATTTTCATGACTAGCCCTTGATAGGGAGCTCTGGTGGCCTAGTGGGTTAGAGGTTGTGCTGCCAACCCAAAGGCAGGCAGTTCGAATCTACCAGGTTCTCCTCGAGAGAAAGATGGAAAAATTACAGCCTCTGAAAACCCACAGGAGGATCAACTACGAGTCATTTCTGGATCAATGACAATGAGTTTGAGTTTGAACTTTAGTTTATTAGTAAGTGTTGCTAGCAGTATCATCTACCAGCTAGAAGGGTGCTAATAAATAAAATCTAAAATAGACCAGGTATTCATCTAGGAAGCTCTGATGACTGCAATTCCTAAATTAGACCAGATATTAATCTGTCACATGAGAGTAAGAGCCATTCCCTCTCCATCCTCCAAATCAGGTGGAGAAGAACTCTTCTGAGGTCAGGATATTGCACCTTTTGATCACGGTGTAGACAGCATACTTCACAGGAAGCTTCCGCTGGAAGGTGGTCTTGCTACTCCTGGGTGTGTTATTTTCACTAAAGAAAGAAAAGGAGTCCAGTTGGGAAGGTGGCCTCAGAGGGGGCCTAGAGGAGGCCAGGGTGGGCGGAGCGCTGCCTCTGGGCCTGGGCCACTCACCTGCTCACATTGGCCGTCAGGAGCAACTGATCTCCCAGCACGGCCTTGGGGGAGATGTCAAAGATGGCCACAAAGATGATCTGAGGAAGAAGTGGGGAGAGGGGAAGTCACACAGACAGAGGGATGAGGGAGGCTCGGGGAGGGGAACGAGACGGTCAGGAGGAGGCAGGGCTGACCTGCATGCCCTCACGGACGATGAGGTGGCTGATGCTGCAGCGGGTGCTCCAGAGGCCCTGGCTCTGAGCCGGGGCGCTGTCACACGTCAGGCGCGGGGAAGACAGGTGTTGCTGGCTCTGCACAGAAGTAGGCTTTGGGTTTACTTTTATATTTATTTCTTTTTATTTTTGTTTTGTTTTTATTGGTGGTTTTCATTCAAGCATTCATATACATTTTGGTTTATAACATTGATTACCACTGATTAGTGCTGCTTATTACAATAAGTCCTCTACTCCTCATTATACTTTGCCTTTTCTTTTACCTCACCCATCTGTCTCCCCACCAACATCTGCTCTCTTTCCCTCTCTCCCTACTCCTGTCAATTAACCTTCCACGATTGTCAAGCCTTTCCTTAGCTTCCCCCTCCCTTGCAATGAAGCATGTGTATCTTGTCCTGTAGCATTAATTACAATACACACAATGTCTGATCAGCTATTCCTTTTCCATCATCTCTCATGTCACTTATTCCAATAAAGTACCGAGGCAGGTTTTCTAAAAAAGGCAGATGAGTATTTCGAAAAGACCCCACTGTGTCAGTGGCGGGGGGGGGGGGGGGACAAGAGACCCCACAAAGAAGTGACACAGTTTCCTGGAACCTTTTTTTCTCAATATCCAAAGCACTTTATTGCAGATCTGGGAGGACAGAGAGGATTCTTCTTAAAAACTGCCTCCCCATCTAAGAGTGTTCATTAGTTTTTACCCTTAAGTTAGATGTTACAATTCCTAGTAAACAAACAGCTTGTGATATAGTTTACAAATGACTGATAAAAAGGACTTCAAAGAGATAAATGCTAATTCAGGAGACATGTCTTTTCAAGAAGAACATGGAGATGACGGAGAATAAAAAAAGAAATTAAGGTAAAGTTCTCGTTCCACGTTAGTGGCTTTCTGAAAACTCATTTCTGATGTCTTAACTCATTGCCAACAAGTCAGAACCCACTCCTAACTGACCCTCCACTGGGTTTTAGAGGGAGGAGACTGTCTGGCTTTCTCCTGAGGAGCCGCGGGTGATTCCAGCCACCACTGGGGTGTGACCTTTGAGTTAGCATCACGGTTCCCCATGGGCTCCTCCAAAGTTCTTAAAATGTCCAGAGTGGGACTGAACGTGAGCTTTGGTAAGCCCTGGGCAGAACGACTATATCCGTCCCACCAAAACCAGCCTCAGCTTCTGGGCAAATGACAGGCTGCTAATTAATGACCTCTCACTCCAAAAGCTGGCATACCTGGATCCCCGTCACACGTCGGTAGGACAGCCCTACAGGGTGGGAGAAGGTGACAGTCGTTCCGTAGGAGTCCTCGCCATCATTCCACACTGTCACTTGCACATTCAGCTCCAGGTTATTCCCGACCACCAGGGTCTGCAAACTGGATGTTATGGGGGAGATGGCTCAGTGTGGAGGCTAGAAATAGTCGGAGTGGGGAGAGTGGACATAGATGGAAGGCAGGATACCTGGGTTCTGAGCATAGAAGAGGCTCACTGGGGAGAACCAGTGGTGAAATCTTAAGGTCCAGGAAACCGAGGTGGCTCTAAGACTCACCCTGAGAAGTCAAAGGAGACTCCAAGGTCATCCTGGCAGATGTGGTCGGCCCCACAGTTCTTCTCAAAGGGGAGCTGGGAGGGAGACCAAGAAAGGTTTTCTCTGGGTTCCAAGGTGTGTATCTCACTCCCTCTGGGAGACCCCAGCACTAAGACTCACAGAGGCCGTGAAGTATCTCTCAGCATCCGTGGCCAGCATGGGCTGGAGGTCTCCAAAGGAGGGGATGGGCTCGCCCACAAGGGAGAGGTTGAGTCGCAGAATGATGGGGGTCACAATGTCCTCCACACAGGCCTGATGGACAGAGATAGGAGGAAGCAGGTGGGTGAGGAAAGTTCCTTAGGAATCTCCCCATAATTCATCAAAGCAGTCACAATCTCTTTCTGAAATCCAGCTGTGTTTTCTCTGGCAGACACAGGTGACTCTATTCATTCATCCATCAATCCACTCTTTCAACGATCAACTGAGTCTCAGTCTCTTTATCTATGAGGGTAGAAAGAATGATACATATCTGTGCTCAAGAAACGCTTGCGATTATTGTTATCCTGCTATGCATCCCTGACCCTTAGAACCTTGACCTCTCCTCTGCCTTGACTACTGGGTGCACTCATGTTATTAAGTGTCATTCATGTTATTCATACTTTACCTCCCTCAAGAGGCCTGGACACACATACTGTTTCCTTCTCTGATTTTATCTTTCTTCACGGCATTGACCACCAACCTGACATCTAGGTCTAGATCTTGACCTCCTCACTCCAGACTGTGAGTTCCCTGTGGGCTCTTCTGTCCACTGCTGTTCTCGCAGCCCCTCAAACAGAGCCTGTTCCACACGAGTGGGTCGATAAATGTGTCAAGTGAATGACAGAAAGAATCCCAGCCCATAGTCCCCTAATTCTTCATGTTGTTGTTGTTGTTAAGTGCCGTCAAGTCGCAGGCGACTCATAGCGACCCTACGAAGGAGAGTCCTCGACGCTTGGGTGCCTTTCATCCTCTCTCCAGGTTCATAGGGTTTCCAGAGGCAAGCTATTACGGAGGTGGATGCCACTCCTCCTTTCAAGCTTGTTTTAATCAGGGAGCTCCACCCCACTCTCTGTCCACATTGGGTAGCCAACCATTAACGTATTTGACACATCAGTGTCACAGTGTTCAGCCTCACAGCAACCACAAGTGACTGCGGTATGGCAACTTGTACACCAGGATCATAACCACCCTGGGTGGAGCAAACCTGGGAGAACGTGGCCGCCTCCTCTCCCCTCTTCTCCTTTTGGGCTAGCAGCCGCTGCTGCCTTCAACCCAAGGCCAATAGCAGCCATAATTTCTCCCTGAAATGTGTTTATGCACTGACAGATACAGCTGACCTCATCCATTCATATACCCATTTACTCTCCCAATTAACATATGTTAAGCACCAGGCCCTATGCTGGGGCAGAGCACTGGAATGTCGTCCTGTGCTCGTGTCCTGGCTACTGCACTGCTGGTCTCAGGTCGCCTTCAGGCAGGCCACTCTTTCCCTGGGACTCCCAAGACCCTCACCAGGAGAAGCAACTTCACAGCCTCACAGTGTTGACCCAGGCCCAGGAGTTGCACTCGGGTCAGATTCCAAGTCTTTGTTTCATCAAAGATGGCACGAGGGTTCAGGCGGCCAGGGTCGAGGGCCAGGTCAAAGGTCACATAGCTCCAGAGGTTACCTGTAGCAGAAGCAAGAGGTAAAGAGGGATGAGAAAACCGCAGGAGGGCAAAAAGCGAGACAAGATACTGGCGTCTTAGCCTGAGACTCTCTGAGGGCTCAGAGTGTCCTCCTGTACAGAGAGGAGGGGACTCACCAAGCTGGTTCTTGAAACTTGGGTCAATATGAAGGCAGACTCTGGCATCACCCATTGGCTGGGCAGAGGTCACGTGCTCCTGACACTCAGACAGAGATCTCGAAATTTCTGCAGGTGTGAAGCTTATACTCACCCACACCCTGAGCACAGGCCTGGTCCTGTGGATAGAACACTGAGCTGAGGACAGGCTTTTGATCTCTGGGGCAGAGTAAAGGGGACTGCAAGTCGGAGGCTGGACCTAGGGCCTCGCTGAGTGTGTCCAAAAAAAATAGCCATTCTCACCTTAGCAGCAGTGCATATCCTTGAGCCCCCACGGCCAGGTCCACAAGCCCATCCATGGTGAGATCCTGGCCTCCACTCAGCGACTGGCCAAAATACTGCAGCTTCTGGGAGAACTGGGAGACTGTGATCCTCTAGGCAGAAGAGAAAACAAATCACGATGAGGAGTGAGAGTTGGAAAGAAGCAGATGAGGATGAAGGAGGTAGAATTGTGGGCGACAGGAAGGGCAGGTGGCAACAAGACATCGTCAACAAATGCCTTAAAAGGGGGGCACAGGGCTGAGGAAAAGGAGGGAAGATGTCTAATAAATTAATGAAGAAAGGGAGATTTCAAAGTCTGGCCTGGTGGTCTATATAAATTTAATTTATATTCAAATATAAATTTTATTCTCTTTCAGAATCAAATTCCAGCTCCTCACAAATTCAGAAGACTTGCTTCAACTCATTCATCTTTCACACAGGGAAAACAATACCTCGGAGTTCATCTATACACATTAGACAAGTCAATTCACAGAGCTCTTAGAACAACAACTAACATACGCTCAACAGTCAAGAATCTTGGCTGTGCTTAGACTCGTCGTTCCGATCACGCCTCATCACTTCCTCTGCATCACTGACCCTCCACTTTGGTTGTTAGGTTCAATCAAGTCAGAACTGGTTCACAGCTGCCCCTCCAGTGGGTTTTCAGTAGTGGTAAATTGCACGGGAGGAGAGTGCCCATCTTTCTCCAGCACAGCAACTGGTGGATTCGAACCACCTGCCTTTGTGTTGGGACCTCAACTCCTTACCACTAAGCCACCAGAGCATAAGATATCCTTCTCGAAGGACTGGCCTCTTCTGATAACGAAGTCTCACCGTCCTTCTTTCTAAGCATCCCTCTGGCTGCATGCTTCGTTCTTCAACAACACAGTTCAATGGCAGGAATTCTTCTTTGGTCTTCCCTATTCCGTATCCACCTTTCCCATGTATCTGAAGTGACTGCAAAATACTATGGCTCGATTCAGATGCACCATAGTGCTCCAAGTGGCATCCGTACTCTTCAGAACTTTAAAGAGTTCCTTTACAACAGATTTGCGTAATGCAATACATTCATTTCTTGACTTATGCTTCCATGGGCATTGATTGTGGATCCAAGAAAAATGAAATCCTTGACACTTCAACCTTTTCTCCATTAGTCAAGATGCTGTTTATTGGTCCAGCTGTGAAGGTTTTAGGTTTTGGGGTTTTTTTTTTTGCATTGAGGTGTAATCTATACCTTTGCTCTTCATCAGTAAGTGCTCAGTTTAATGAAAATAAGAAGAAGGGGAAGCAACAAGCAAGTAAAAAACTCAACCTCAGCTGTACCTTCTCATTCACCCACGTCAACTTCTCTTTGGATTTCTTGACAGAAGGAGACTGTCCGTCTTTCTGCTTCTAAGTAAACCAACGACTTTTCAATTACTAGACTTACATTGATCACATTGTGCCACCAAGGCTCCTGTTTCAACTTTAGGCAACCACTCGACCATGGCCTAGTGGGAAGGAGCTGTGCTGCCTCTGAAGGCATGTGATTCAAATCCACAGGAGAAGAACGGGCAATCTCCTCTCATGTGACTTTACAGCCTCTGAAAATCAGCTGGAGGGTCAGCCATGGATCAGCTCCAACTCGATGGCACACAACAACATTTACTGATTAATGGGCATTTAGCTTGTTGACATCGTTCGACTATTATGACTAATGCTACCATGAACCTGCATGTATGACTTTTTTGTGAAGACACATGTTTTCATTCCTGTTGCCTGGGGATAGAGATCTAAGAATGGAATGAATAAGTCATGTAGTAACTCTGTATTTAACTTTTCTAGAAACTCCATGTTATTTTCCAAATTGGCTGCACCATTTTACTTATGTTCCTATCGGCAGGGTGTGAACATGAAGATTTCTTTACATCCTCAGTAACACGTTTTTTCCCCTCTCTATTACAGCCATCCTAGTTGACCTGAATCATGACCTGGCAAAGTTGACATATAACCATCACAGCCGACATTAATCTCACCTCAATCTTGGCATTCACAATTGCCAGCACATGACATTAAGTCGCAAAATAGTTGGATAGATTTTTTTTTAACTATTGTCATGGTGGATAGTGTTTGGTGGAGCTCCCCGGTTGAAACAAGCTTGGAAGCAGGAGTGGCATCCACTTCCGTAAATAGCTTGCCTCCGGAAACCCTATGAACCTGGAGAAAGGATGAAAGTCATGCATACAAGTGTCAAGGAATTTCGTTCATAGGGTCACTATGAGTCGCCTATGACTCGACAGCACTTAACAACAACAACAACAACATTGTCATAAGTGCACAGTATCAGATAAGAGTGAGAAATAGCTGTTTGCCAACAAATGATCACTACGACGACAAAATAAATACAAGATTGAAATGATATTAATAAACTAACAATTCTAAATCTCATTTCAATTCACTAAGAGATTACCTCTGGTAATTTTAGACTATGAAAATGTGTGGTTACTTCTATATGCACCTACATAGGTGGGTCACATGTGTATGAATAAATCAGTGTATCTGCACGTACATGTAAAAGGTGTTCTGGTGCACATGCTGTTAAGCATTTGTTTGCTAACCCAAATGCTGATTCATACTCACCCAGTGGCTCACAGAAGACCTAGTAATCTGCTTTTATAAAGAAAAAGTATCACCGATGAAACCCAACTGGGCAGTTCTACTGTCACCTGAAGTTGTGGAGTCAGAACTGATGTGAGATCACACGTCTATATGCATATATAAACATGTATGGGTGTACGTGTATACACATATGGGGAAAAGCACACAGGGAAGGCAGTTACACTCGTTACTGTTACATGCCATCGAGTCAGAATTGACTCAGAGTGAACCTTCCAGTAAGTTGTAAGAGGTTGTAAACCACACAAGAGACTGCCCATCTTTCTGCAAGAAGGAGCAATGAATTCAAACACTGCGTTTAGGACGGTGGTACAACTCCTTTGCCACTAAGTCAGAGTTCCCCAGGTAATTCTTAGACATAATCAAACACCTTACAGTATTGGTTTTGAGTCTGAAGGAACAGTCGTATAAGACACTTGCATCAGCCGGCATAAGACAGCTCACACAGTACATACTGTCCAAAATTCAACATGTATGATTGATTACATCTCTTAACAAACTAAAGGAGCTCTCGTGACCCAGTCCAGGGAGTTGCATTGCTAAATCAAAGTCTATGCCTCTGATAGTGCAAATTCACCAGCAGCTCCCCAAAGAGGCGGTTTCTTCTCATTTCTAGTCTCTGAACACAAGGCAATGGTTTTAAGGAATTATCCAACTTGAATGGTTCCTGAACGTTGAAATTCCATGTCAATTCTTAATTCCCTTCCACATTTCCCTCCCTTTTAAACAAGAGTCTTCTATAGAATTTTTAACCCTCAGTTAATGACACTTTGGTTATTTTTTTTTAACCAAGATTTCTTTGACTTTTCCCAAAAGAAGCAGTCCTCCCTTCTAATGGAACCCTGCTCACTTGGTGGGAGGCACCTGCCTAGATGGGCCTATCATAGGATTGTTGATGGCAGGAAGGGAATAAAGTGATTTAGCAGCTGGAAGGATAAAGGGGCGAGACAGGCAAATTAAGGCAGCCAGATCTAAACTGATGGATAACAGAGAGCCATCAAAAGACCAAGCACTGGGTTAGAAATCAGGAGTTATCACTGTTCCTGACCCACTACAAATCCTAAACAAGGCAAGTCATTTCCTTATGTCTCAAATTTCATCTGTAAAATGGGTTTGCTAGTACCATGTAAAGCTACTGGAAAGATTAAATGAACCCATTCAAGTCTCAAGTTTCTATACAAAGCCATGCACAAGCCAGTCAATGTTAATTTCTCAAGTTCCATGGATTGTTCTTCTTGCCTACAAGGTGCCCAGTGCTTAGTGAGGGAAGTGAAATGAGATAAAAGAGGATGATTTTGCAGGTAGCAGCTTGGAAGGGGAAGAAACAAGGAGAAAGCTAACTGTAGTAACAGGGTCCGTGACAGGCCCTCACCTGGCTGTGGGTGGGGCTGATGCCCAGTCCCAATGCTCCGTGAAATAGGTAGACAGCGCCCTGGTTGTCCTGCTCCCCTGGCGCCCCAATGGCCACATCTGTCAGCCTGTCCCCATTCACGTCCCCCAGTACCGTCATGGCTGCCCCAAAGCGGCTCCAAGGATGTCCTTGCTCCCCCTGGAGAACAGCCTGGCACCGCCACTTGGCCTGCTGATGGGTAAAACCAGTGTCAGGTCCCAAGGGGAGCAACCCCTCCACCTGGGACCCACCCAGTCCAGGCTCCTCAGTCACTTACCCCCTGAGGCAAGGGGCAGACAGACACCTGACCCCCTCGGGTCTGCTCATAGTGATGAGGGGCTCCGATGAGGACCAAGTCGGTGCTATCATCTCTGTCCACATCTACCGAGCAGAGGGAGGCCCCGAAGTACGAGCCAATCTGGAAGACAGAGTCTAAATTAGTTACTCTCTCTACTTCTAGAAACACTCTTTTTGGGAACCAGGTCCTGCCTCTTTCCAGGCACCAAGGTCTTCTCACTCTGAGCTCCAAATCCCCCTCCTCCCCAGCCATCTTCTCGTTTCACCCCAGCTTTCCCAGTACCCAACCTGGGTCCCTGTGACTTCCGCGCGCAACATCCAATCCTTCCACGTTGGGGTGAAGATGACAACCTTTCCAGTGTGCTTGTGGCGGGGAGCACCTAAGACCAGGCTCTGTACCCCCTTCCAAAGGGCCAACTCAGTGGCATAACCTGAGAGAAACAGGCCTTTGCTTGACCTCCCTTCCTCCAGGGTTCCTGCTCTTCACAGGCAGCTCACCGCCCCATCCTGCCCCTCTAAGCTGCAGCCTTTTCTCACCCAAGTAAGAGTCTTTCATGTCCACATTCTTCTGAGACATGTTGATGAAGGTGTGGCTCCCATCTGGGGGATACAAGAAAGCACCTCCAGACCAGCTAAAACTCCCCACAGCTCCCAGAACAGGTCCATCCTGGGAAGAAATGATTCAAGAGCTGAACAGGATGAGAGAACAAATAGAGCCCACTCTAACTCCAAAATGCCTGTCCCAGACTCACACTCTTCCCTTCCTCCCTACTCTCCCTTATCCCACACCGTTGATACAAGACAAGCCCTACTCACAGGTGTGAACACAGCACTGAAGCCCTCTTGGGACATCTCAAATTCAAAGGAACTAGCACTCATGAATTGTGTACCTGGAGGAAGACAGGATACTTGGGTCCTGAGAGGCCGGGGACATGACCTTAGAGGCCTGGGAACCTTTAAAACCACAAACTCTCCCTTATTTTGTGCATAGTAATTGTCACTACAGCAAACTATCCTCGCCCCCTTCAGACCTCATGAGCCAGAACTGTTCTGGGAACTGCTAATTTACAGAAAAATCTGCCTTTATGAAAAGTGTCTAGCCCACACAGACCTCCTCCACAGTACGAGCCCTCCATCTGTATGGCCCAGGACACACGCATTATTGGTGGAGGTCAGCCAGTAAGTAGGGCGTTCTGGAGGCCTAGTGGTAAGAAATCACACTGCAATCCTAAAGGCATGTGGTTCAAGTCCACCAGCTGCTCTGTAGAAGTATGGACAATCTCTCCTCTTGTGTGATTTACTGTCTCTGAAAACCCAGTGGAGGGTCAGCTCTGGGTCGGTGTTATGAACTCAACAGTTCATAAAAACAACCCTAATTGAGTGGTTAACCACATCTATCAGCTCCAAGGAAGGAGGGTGAGAGTAGCTTTGCATAGCCCAAGAAGAATCTCAATTACGTTGGAAAGATTTAATGCTGGAAAAGAATGCCTACAGGGAGGTACCAGTGCCTATGACACTGAGGTCTAGGTTCAAGGAAGATAAGTACAGAGAGTGAGGATTTCAAAGTAAGTAGTTCCCTCTCTGACTTACCTTCAATGGCAAAAATTTTCTCTTTCAGTTGGTTCTGAATGCCTTTTAAAGCTTCAAAGTCATTCACTTGAAATACATGTTCATGAGAGGGCTTGGATGCGATGTCACGTAATTCTTTGATAGAATGTCTGTTTTTAAAAGCCCGTCCTACCTGTCTCCAAGAAAGACCAACAAATAAAAATAATAAATGAATTACACTGTGAGCTATTGAGTTGTATCCCACCCAAAATGTGTCAACGTGGCTGGGTCTGGCAGTTACACAATACTGTAATCACTCCCCTGCTGTGTGATCTGCTCTGATCAACCAGTCAATTACAAATGGATTAGGGTAGGATAATGACAACAATTGTGTTTATAGAGAACATTGTTCTAAATGGTGCAGCACGTGTCTGTCACTTTGCTGTACTGAAATAACTTGAAGTTGCTGTGATACTGAAATCTACGCCACTGGTGTGCCAAATGCCATAGGGTTTCTCATCATGGACAGGTTTTGGTAGAGCTTCCTGATTAAGACAGAATAGGAAGTAGGATGGGCCATCTACTTCCTAAATAACAGACCTTTGAAAACCCTATGAACACTAAACAAAGAGGATAGTTATAGTAGAGTAGTGGTAGAGCCCAGATTGGAAGTCAGCTGAAAGGAGGACTGTGGCAATGGGCTCTTGTGTGTCAGGAAGTGTGAGGACGGTGCAGGATAGAACAAGGTTCAGATCTTTTGTTCATAGGGTTGCTATGAGCTATGTTTGACTCAATGATACCTAACAACAACAACAACAACAATACTCTTAATCAGATCACAGTCCTGATCCAATGCAAGGGGAGTTCTCCTGGGGTGTGACTTGCATCACTTTTTATCTATCATGCAAGAGATTAAAGTAGAGAAAAGTGAGTACGAAGGAGGGACCTGACCACCACTAAGAAAGAAGAGCTAGGAGCGGAGCATGTCCTTTGGATTCAGGGTCCCTGTGCTGAGAACCTACTGGACCCAGGGGAAGATCTCCAAGGAATCCTGAGCCCACAGATCATGAAAGGAGACAAGGACTTTCCCCCAGAGCTAACAGAGTGAGAAAGTCTCCTCCTAGAGCCATCACCTTGACCTTGAACCTCCAGCTTCCTGAACTGAGAGAGAATTCCACTTATGGAATTTGTGTTACGTTGTTGTCGTTATGTGTTATTGACTTGACTATTACTCTTAGCTATCTTATGAACAAGAGATCAAAACCTTGTGTTCAGTGTTTCAGTCATGCTCCAGGCCATTGTGTCAACTCATCATGCATCTGCCAGACTGTGGTGGCTGTGGGTTGTTGTGATGGGCTGGGGCCTCTGGTATTTCCAATAACATTAACTATAGGATTATCTGTGGTGGACAGGTTTCAGTGAAGCTTTCAGACTAAGACAGGCTAAGAAGCAGGACTGTATATCTAGTTTTGAACTAACAGACCTTCAAAAAGCCTATAGTTAATGGAAGAATATGTCTGTTATAGCACCACCATGTAACTAAGCTATACCCCTACTCCATGCTGGGCACTGACAAACTTCAATAGCACAATATACAGATGAAAAAAGTAAGAATCACACAGGATTATAATTTCTAGGAAGGAGTTGTGGGCTGGGACAGAGTTTCTATCCTGAAGGCAGTAGAAGAAGAGAGAACGGAGGTTTACATCCTTGAAAGGAAGTTAGAGAGGAAGTAAGGAGGAGTGGTGGAAGAACGTCTCCACTTCCTACCCCAATGGCGTATCGGATAATGCCGGCTGAGTCAGCTTTGGGTATGACGTCCTCATAGTTCAGTTTGTCACCTTCTTTTGCTCCATCAGTGATGACGATGAGGACTTTGGTGGCATCCTTACGGGCTCCATTTTGGGGATGGAACATAAAATTCCTACAAGGGAAGAAAAGAGTGCAGAGGTCTATGAACTTCTAGCCTCAGATATACTTGTGAAAACTAGAATGAGATTTCCCTTCCTCTGGGAGGTCATGGTCCCACTTAGGGGAATCCAATGTCGTGTGATAAGGTCAGGTTGGATTTCAGGTAGGTAGATGCAGATGTTTTGAGGAATGGCTTGCGGAACTGGGGGTGGGGGGTGAGTAGTTGGGTGGGGGAACAACCACACAAAACCTTGACAGAACTCACATGGCCTTTTGGATGGCTGTGGCTGTGTGAGTAAACCCTCTCTTCTGTATCACATGATCCAATAGTTTTATTGGGTTGAAGCTGTGTTTGAAGTTGTCATTTGTCAGATAACTGCATCATGGAGAATTGCAAGAACCATGCGGGGGGCGGGGGGAGGTTATGAAGACTGCCGCATCAGGACCAGACTCATCTTCCAGCAATGCTCCTTTCACCAGTGCCCCACAGGCTTGTCCTCCCTCCCTCAAGGGCACACCTGGGTGTCAGGTCTCTGGAACTGGCTCATCACCACCTTCACGAAGTTGATCACAATGGCAAAATCACTTGCGAAGATGCTGCCAGAGCCATCAATCAGGAACACGATGTCTTTCTCCTCCCTTGGACACTCTGAAGATGGAAGCAGAACTGGTCCTCCAAGGGGCCCTTCCTTGGAAACCAGGACCCTAGTCTCCTAACCACAAGAACCCAGTGAGTGTCTCAACACCCTCTCCAGCTTCAGTCTGGCCTTGTACCCTGGTTCATCTCTTTGTGAGGGAGCTGGGCTTCCTAACTCCCTGACAAGCATCAAGCCCCAAAGTTTTCTAAAGAGACTGGAGCTGGGACCTACCAGTACACATCTGGGTAGCCAGTCTGGTTCATTCAACAGTGAAAATTTCTTCCATCTGATGGAAAAGGGCTGAAAAGCTTCTCCTCCCACCTTGGCATTGTTCCCCCTCACCTCTTCCCTATTGTCCCCACAGTCCAGGAACGAAAGAACCTTGCTCAAGGCTCTGGTCACTGTGTGTCCTCCTTGGTTAGTGCTGAACTGTACTTTTGTTCAATATTTTTAGTGTCCCTTCTGGCACCAGCCACACACTGACCCTCTTCTGTTTTGTTTAGCAGGCTCCTGCCAACCTCTTGGAAGAAATCTCACCTCAGAAGTAGGGCAGGACATGGGTTCATCCTGGCTTGACCTTTAATGAAAATGGTTCTTCCCCACCCTAAGATATATTGAATCCAAATTAATATTTTGTTTTAATGTAGTTTCTGACTCAGTATACTTGGGAAGAAAAGGCAAATTGTCAGTAGCAGGTCAGACTGGACCTAACTAGTTCGAAGTGCCACTCAGAAGTTCTAGATGAACACAGGAGACCATGGAGTGGTGGAGAAGGAGCCCTGCTAACTCAAAGGGGGAATCTACTTGGAGGTTCGAATCCATCATCTGCACTGAGGGAAAAAGATGGACAGTCTTCTCCGCTGCGAATTACAATCTCTGAAATCCCAACTCAAAGGTAATGCAATGTGCGGGTTTTTTGTTGGTTTTTGTTTTGTTGTGATTTTTTTTAAGATTTTATTTCTGGGGAGCTCTGGTGGCCTAGTGGCAAGAAGCTGCACTGCAATCCCAGAGGTACACGGTTCGAATCCACCAGATGCTCTGCCGGAGAAGGAGGAGCAATATCCTCCTGTACCTGTCAGATCTGGTTTGACGGTACACGCACACAAAATAATAAAAATAATTTAAAAATTAAAAAATTCTATTTCTACCCCCAGGTTCCCTTTTCTGCCCTGGGGGCCTCATGGCACAGAAGGTGTCCTGGGTGTTCTTATTGGGAACCCAGGCCCTGGAACCCAAAGTAGAGTCTAGACCCCAGGATGTGCTGACAGAGACACTGTACAGTCGTCAGGTGTCAGTCTCCCCAGGGGCCTCAGCTGGCCACAGGCCGGGTCTGAAGTGCTCGTGGTTCACCACCGGGTCCTCCGGTGAAGCTCCAGAAAAGTCAAGTCCTTTGCGCCAAGCTGCACAGACAAGCATGCGCACACCCCAGCACAAGGCGCAGTCCGCCTGCCCCCTTGCCTCTCTTTCCCGGCTTGCTGCATAGAATTTATTTTATTTATTTTTTAAAAAAATCCCCGCTCTCTATGCACATCCAAAAACTTCTCCAACAGGGTCAAAAGGGAAGGCACAGATTGGGAAAACGTGTTTGGTAATGACATGTCAGATAAGGGACTTATATCTAGAATTTATAAAATACTTGAGCACCACAACAAGATAAGGGTAAATAATCCAATTGAAAAATGGGCACAGGATATGAATAGACACTTCACCAAAGAAGACATTCAGATGGCCAACAAGCACATGAAGAAATGTTCAAAATC